ATATTCTGAAAGAAATTGAGAAAGCATTTCAATTACAATAATAACACACACACACACACACACACACACATACCTAGATACAAATTTAAACAAGGAGGTAAAAGATTTCAACAATGAAAATCATAAAACACTAATAAAATAAATTGAGGAAAATACAAAAAAAGAAGACATCTCATGTTCATGAATTAGATGAATTAATATTGTTAAAACAAGGATAGCACCCAAAGTGATCTACAAATTCAATGCAATTCCTATTAAAATTCAATGAGGGACCGCAGATGATGAAATAGTTATGTCGCTGAACTCCTACATAATCGACCATGGTTTGAGTTTCAGACCGAATGGATTAAATAAAACTCACACTGGACGCATTTGCCTGCATGCCTCAGATCCCAAGAGGAGAATGGAAGAGAAGGGATTGTGGCATGGGCATCTCCCCTGGGAAGTGATTTCTCATTTTCCATCTCTCTGTTTCTCTCTGTCTCTCCAGTGAGCACATGCACCCTATGGCAAAAATCTCTCCCTCTTAAAAAAAAAATCAATGAAATTCTTCACAGAGATAGGAAAAATAATTGTAAAATTAGTTTGGAATCACAAAGGATCCTGAACAGCCAAAGAAATTACGTGCAGAAAGAATAAAGTTAGAGGTATTACACTAACTGACTTCAAAATATTTAACAAAGTTATAACAAACAAAACTGCATGACACTGGCACAAAAACATACACATAGTCTAATGGAACAGAATATAGAACCCAGAAATAAATCCAAAACCACAAAGCCAACTGATTTTTGACAGAAGCTCCAAGATAATTCAGTGGGTAAAAGACAGGGTCTTCAGTAAATTATGCTGGGAAAATTGGATGTTCATATGCAGAAGAATGAAACTAAACCCCTATGTTTTATCATTTTCTAAATTATATATATGTTAATATATATATATATTTACAAAAATTAACTCAAAATGGATTAAAGGCTTAAATATAAAATACAAAACTATAAAATTTCTTGATGAAAACATAGAGATCTGGCCAAAAAATTTTAATAAGACCTCAAAAGCATGGGCAACAAACCAAAAATAGGGAAATGAGACTACATTAAACTAAAAGGCTTCTGTATAACAAACAAACAAACAAAAAATCAATGGAGTAAAATGATGACTGACAGAATGGGAGAAAATATTAGCAAACTGTACATCCAAAAAGAGACTACTAACTAGATTATATAAGAAAGTCAAATAGCTCACCAACAAAAAATTAACAATCCAATTTTAAAAATGGGCAATCAATCTGAATAGACAGTTCTTAAAGGAAGGTATTCAAATGACCAAAAAGCATATAAAAATATTCAACCTAGCTAATCATAAGTGAAATGCAAATACAAATCACAATGAAATACCACTTCACTCCAGTTGGAATGGCTGTTATAAAAAAATAATAATAACAAGTGTTATTGGGGAGGTTTGGAGAAAAAGGAAGCCACATGTACTGTTGATGTGAATGAAAATTAGTAAACCCACTATAGAAAACAATATAAAGATTCTTCAAAAAACTAAAATAAAACGACTTTGTGATCCAGTAATTCTACCAAATTGGGTATCCATGTGTTGAGATTTTCACTTCCATGTCTATTGCAGCACTATTCACAACAGCTAAGATATGCAGTTAACCTGAGTGCCCAACAACTGATAAATGAATAAAGAAAATACTCAATACTCTACAGACAACACATTACTGCTATACAAAGGATGGGTTCCAATGTCAACTGAGGCAAAATAGATGAACCTAGAAGACAAATACTAAGTCAAATAATTCAAGCTTTGAAAGATGCATATTGTATATCTTCACTTAACAATACAGTATGTCCTCATTAATGGAAGCTGAAAGACTCAATTGCGTAGAAGTAAAGAGTACAATGGTAGATACCAGAAACTGGAAAGGGGACAAGGTATAGA